AATTCATGGTTCTGTCCTTTCATGTTCCACATTAAATCCCTGTCTTCAAAAGCCAGCCCTTTGCTTGTGTAATTTATATCTTTCAAGGGAAATTTGTTCACTTTAATCTGAGAAGGGTCTGGATATCATTATGCAGCAGTGAGGAAAACATACGCTGACCAGCTCTTATGACTTCACAGTGCCCTAACTTTGGAAAGAGAGAGATATAACTTGGATGAAGCTGGTCAAAAGCATCTGAACAGATGCTACTCTTATCAGCCCATTTTTCATGGGGACCAGCCTTCTTGATCTTCCCGTCCACAAAAACAAACAAAAAAGACTAGTTGGCATATCAGCGACACTCAAGAGAATGCAAAGACATAGCCTTGTTAGTCTGGAAAATCATTATGCAAAGGGATCTTATCGCATCTTTGAGACGAAATAAATAAATTGGTAGCATGAGCATTCGTAGACTCAAGCCTACTTCCTCAGACACATGTTTAACTCAAGAAAATGGTTGGAGTCAGACTTGAGCCCCATGCCAGGGACTAGTGTGGGTGTCGTCTTTGTGATGGATTGTATTTTCAGGACAGTGTTGACTTTTAACAGTGAATATAATTACCTTTTCATCAAGTGTGGTTGATATTAATGCAGTGTTTGAATGAGCTTTCAGGAAGTAATGGAATAGAAGCCACCCATTCACTTTTGCAGAGCTTTTCAACTGGCGTGGATCAACAAGTAAGCCCTAATTCTGCAAAAGCTGCTGGGCATCCATAAACAGACATCTGTTGTTGATTCCCAAAATGCACAAGCCAAGCGTTTCAGCATCAAGGCAACAGTGTTGGTGCCAAAATTCTAAGGAAATGGGATCCTAGGCCAACCACAGTTGCCCTGCCCTGGTCAAAATATACCCTCCAACATTTCACAGAAGAAAACCAAGACATGTGGGGCTGAGCAGTATTAGAGTGTGGTCAAAAGGGTGTAGTCAGGCAACAAGAGGACAAAAGTTGTTAATGAAGGAGCCTACACAAAACTATTATATACAGATGCTACTCTTAAGTTAAGTTTAGGAAAGTCAAAGAAAGAAAGACCAAATGAGCCTAATGGCTCTGACCCTCTCCTTCCTGGTGAGTTAAGTGAGTACCAACTACTTTTGCACTTGGAACTCAGTTTCCAGCAATTGGAGTAAGTTGAGGACAAAAAGGAAAGTGGGAGGAGAGAAAAACTGGGACATTTTAAAGCCGAGAATGAGACAGCAGAGGATCGTATGTGAAAGGCTTCTTCGCTGGATAATATCTCCAGTGTTCCTCCTGAGTCTTGCCATTCCTTAGCAATCACCTATGACATAAACATAGTCATACGGGGGAGGAAGTAAAGAAATTGTGTACAAACCTTACAAATGAAAATACTGTATAACCCTGGTTTGTGTTGCCCTCATTTAATCTCCTTTTGATGTGATGTTTAACTCGTAACTGCCAATGTTAGTTTCTTCCAGGTGCCAAGCCAAAGCATGGCTTTTTATTAAAACCTTTGAAGACTAAGGGGGGAAGCAGATGGGAGCTTCCCGTGCGCCGCGGGACGGTGCGCCGCTGGACCGCGGCAGCCGCACCGCAGCGCATCGTCGGCGACTCTAAAAGGAGCGCCAAATTGGCGCTCCTTTTAGATTTCAGGGAAAGTGCGCCCTAAAAGCGGCGGGTGCACTTTCCCTGACTCAAACGCCGCGGCGCGTCCGGTCGCCGCGGCGTGAGGTCATCCCCGGAGCGCCGGCCGTGCGAAGGGCCAGCGACTCCGAGGGCGACCTCGGGAAGAGGAAGGGGCGCCGCTCGTGCGGCTGCCCCTCCTCTTCCAGGCCCAGAAGACGGCTCTATTAGCCGTCTGCCGAGGCCCTAATTTACTCCAAAGTGTACTTGTATGTGATTTTAAATTGTTAGTGCTTGTAGAGTTGTGTTAACGGTTGTTTTGTTTAATATGTTTTTAATCGTGAAACAATTATTTATGGTATTACTCTGGAAATGTTTTAAAGTGTTTGTATTTCACATTGCCCCGAGATCACATAATAACAAGCTGGCTAAAAATATTTTGAATAATAAATAATAACATAAATAAAGAGCAAGGAGGAAGTAATTTACCTTGAACACCAAACACACTTCTCTCTCTCTCACACACACACACACACACACAGAGATCATGGGACTTCTGTATTTTTCCTTGATGATAATTGAACAGTTGCTGCTTGGTTTTATAAGGATGCCATTTCCTTGTAGTACTTCTTATTCTTGCACAAAAGTGTGGTTCTCATTCCATCCAATCTACACAACCTCTCTGGCTCTTTCACATTTAACCTGTCCCCTAATCTTATGCCTTATTATTTAAGTCATATGCCACTTTCTCCCAGCATTTAATGATAAGAAAGTGACGTAGCTTGTAGGTTCATATTCCATCTTTTCTTTTATTTGCTCCAAGAAAACACCTTATCACATTTTATTAGTCCTTGACTTCATTACAATGGAATGTGTTGACATGATTGCCTATGGTAACAAAAAAAAAACTTCCGTGCCACCTCCACAAAGCACTCTTTTTTTACAGATAGCCAAGCCAGTGATTGCACAGGGCAAACCCCAAAGTCATCCAAAGGATTTCGTAGACCACAAGGTATTTTGAAAGTGATTGTTTCCCAAAATCTGCAAGTGATTAAAAAGAATGTGGTTTTAAAAAATACTCAAAGAGGACAGACACAATAACAAAGGTCCATGTGCAAAGAGAATTTGGTTTGATTTTCTTAAGACTACAATTCCCACAATCCCACAGCCAGTATGCCTTTTAGCCATGTTGGGGTGGGGGGAGTTATAATTGCAAAACATCTCTCAAAGCCTCCATTTGCAAGAATTTCATTGCCAGTCAGATGACTAGAGATAACACTCAACCAAAAACAGCCCAGAAGGCCCTTTTCAATGGCACAATTCCCTTACCTATGCAGAGCTGATCCCCAAACTTGTTATATGTATTATATGTAAATCTATTCTTAAATTGAGTAGGATATCAAGGACATAAGTCTTTGACTCTGCAAAAACTGGATCTTTGTGAACTGTCAGTTCCAGGCCATTTTTATTTTCCCATATTTCTGGGTTAGTGAGCTATAAATGACTTTTTGTAACTCCATTCCCCCTGCTACTACCGTACTCTTTTAGGGCATTCTTATTTCCACTTTATATATCTGAAAACCACAGTCATCTTTTTTCTGAGTGGCATATGACTTGCTCAACAGCAGGGCAGACTGTCTCAAAAGGTAGTGGACTCTTTCTTTTTAGGAGTTTTTCAGTAGTGATGGGATGGTTGCCTCTTAGGGATACTGCAAAAGCATATTCCTGTGTCAGTGGAGGTTTGGGCCAGAGGACCATCCAAGTCCCACCAGCTCCAGTCATTTCTGTGCTTGTAATGCATAGGGAGATGGAAAAGAGGTACATAAAAACCAGGATTGTCTCTTATTTTGTCAAACAATTTAAGCACACATGTTCCATTTAATGGATCAGTGGAGCTTACAGCTCTCAATCTCCCCACATATGTGTAAAAACACAGAGACTATTTCTTATAGAGAAATGATTCTTATAAAGTTATCTCTAGCAATGGCATTTCAAGGAAGGAAGTTTACATTTTAAGGATCCCTGTAAACTTATTTAAAAAATACTACCATGGTGATCAACCCAGATACTTTGAGTTAGTGAGACTTGGATGTTGACCGCAGCATGGATTCCACGTGTATTGGTGGGGCATGATGCTTTTTCTTGTCTACTGTATCCATTTTATTTCAGAAGGCTGTAAGCCCAAGACCTGGAAGCAGCTAAAATTAATATATACCGTACATTTCTATACCACTGATCAGTGAATTCATCATTCCGTAAGCGGTTTACAATGTGTAAGCTAATTGCGCCAACAAGCTGGGGACTCATTTTAGCAACCTACAGAAGGATGCAAGGCTGAGTGGACTTTGGAGCCCTGCTTGGGATCGAACTCACAACCTTATGGCTGCAGTACTGGCATTTAGCCACTGCGCCACCAGGGCTCCTTAAAAGTAATCCATCCTAGAAGCACCTCATGACTAAAGCTTGTGACCTGGGTACTGTACTGTATACAGTACTATCTTAACTGAAAGGGGGTTTCCGCATACGGTTACCCAAATAATGAGAACTTGTGAGTAAATGCAAATGCCTTTTAATAACCGCATTTCTATCACAGTGAAGCCATGTGAAGGTTCACTAGGGAGTTTTTCACACGGGGGAAAAGCGGTCATGATTTCACACGACGTGCTGTTAAATTGATGTTAAAAGGAGGTTAATCTGAACGAAAACCCCTCATTTACGCTTCTTTTTACTTTCGGAAAAACCTGAAAGTGAAAATGAGGGGGTTTCGTTTGGATTAACCTCCCTGTTAACAGCGCTTTTATTTTTCACACAGGGCATTAAAAGTTTCCACTTTTGTGGGTTTTTTTTTTTTTTTACTTTAAAGAGCGATTTTGCACAGGGCTCCTTGTGTGATAAACTCCTAAGACTGGTCAGTCTAAAGCCACAATGGAAAATAACCTGAAATATCTTTATCAGATAGACCATTAAGACATTTCATGAGACCTTATATTATGTCTCCCTGTTTGTTCCACAGAAGTATGGCTTTTAGACTGCATAATTTTGTTATTGTTATTTGCCATAAAGTCAGCTTCAACTTTTGACATTGCCATCAACAAGAGACCTTCAGGAGCGCCAGCCATCAACTGCTCTGCTCAGGTCTTGGATGCTCAAAGCTAGGGCTTCTTGCATTTAATCAATTAAACTTGTAATGTGGGATACATCTTTTCCTAGTGCCCTCCACTTTGTGTGCATTTAGTGTGCCTTCAAGTCATTTCTGATGTATGGCGACCCTAAGGAGAACCTATCATGGGGTTTTCTTGGCAAATTTTATTCAGAAGAGGTTTGCCATTGCCTTCTCCTGAGGCCAGGAGCATGTGAGCCAAGATCACCCAGTGGACAGCATGACTGAGCTGGGAATCGAATCCTAGTCTGCAGAGTCATAGTCCGACACTCAAACCACTAAGCTATGATGGCTCTCAATCGAACATTATAATCTTTTCCATTGCCAATCAAAAACTCAGTCATGGACCCAGTGTGCTAAAGGAAGACTCCTGTTTACACCAGGAACCCAAATGCTGTGTCTTTTGTTGAATCCTATCTTGTAATGTTAGAGTCATGATCTCCTTTCTGGTCATGGTTTGTACCCTACAAGCTGCCCTTGAGGATTGTCTCAGTGTGATTGGTATTATGTATGGAGGAATGAAGAACATCAGGAGGTCAGAAAGGATAGCGTTGCTAGCAAACATTTTGAACCTGTTGTCCAGATGGATACAGAGACAGGTATGTTGCAATGACGATATCATGATTGAAGTTGTGCATGTGAAATATCTTTAAAGGATGCTGTTGGGTGAAGGAATTCTCTCTGTCTCTTTCAAAGATTCTATCTATTACATTAATATCTCCCTTGAAACCCTAGGCAACTGTTAGGCCACTTTCCATGCTGGGACTGAGGTGAACCAGACCTTGGCTGCCTCATTTTCATCATCAACCTGTTAGGCAAACTTTGCAAAAAGCCATAAACTGAGGTATGTATGTTTAAGGAAAACAGCAGAATAAACTCTGCCCTTGCCAACTTAAGTTCACAGAGTGTCAACACTTTGTGTGTCAAAGGCTGTTTAAAGTCCATGAAATTACCAGTGAAGGTGAGCGGGCTTTACGTGTAAAGAGGCACGGAGAAGCTTACAGAGGCAAATCATACCAGGGCATCATTCACTGTCCTATGCATTACACAGACTGAGGTGTTAAATTTCTGGACTGCACCACCTTACATGGCAGAGAGAATTCTGAATCGTGGTATTTCAGATGGCAGGATATAAATGAATAGAGAGCTTCTGAGGGCTGGCTGGCAAATGCCCAATGGGCATTCATGTGAATTAGTTCCCTGTGTGTTTTGTTGTTGTTGTTGTTGTTGTGTGCCTTCAAGTCATTTCTGACTCATGATGACCTTAAGGAGAACCTATCATGGGTTTTTCTTGGCAAGTTTCTTCAGAGGATGTTTGTCTTTGCCATCCTCTGAGGCTGAGAAAGTGTGACTTGCTCACCCTGTGGGTTTCCATGGCCAAGCTGGGATTTGAACCCAGGTCTCTTCTAATGCTACGCTCAAACCACTACACCATGCTGGCACAGCAAGGTAAATGTGGAGAGCTCCTTCACTCAAGGAGGCCCCTTGAATAGGCAGGTTGACTCCCTGGGTGCACAACTGAGTGCTGGGAGTGGCAGTACAGAGCTCCAGCAGTGGATGAAGCTAAGTCACACAACTCCCTTTGAATATTCTTTCTACACAAGAAAGGATTGTGTGTACCTTCCCCTAACATAACTAAGCATCAGGGAGAGGGCAAGACTCTTTTCTCTGATATGTTTGTGACCCCAAATAGGTGTGTGTGTGTGTGTTGTATGAGGAGTGTATGAACAAGGTCAACAGTTTGTGCATACTTTGATCATTGTGAGATGTTGAGTCATCTTAAGTATAGAACCAGAAATGGAATAAAGAATAACACAAATTAGCAAATAAACAGTATACCTTTCCTGTGAGCAAACAGTGTACCATGTCCTGTGAGGAAAACCCTTCTTTCATGTGAAAAGGTGGCTGGAGTGGGGGGGTTATGACTAACACACAGTACACAAGTAAACCGAATAGATAACGGGGGGGAAATAAGATTCTTTCTGGCCAGATTAAGATAGATGGGTTCTGTGCCACCCACTGCAGCAATTGTTGGCAGTTGTATATCTGAGATCTGGAGTTAGCAAACTTTACAGGAAAGTTTTCTTCATTGCTCCAGCTGTTTACAGCAGACATCAACTCATGATCAGCAAGAGAAAAATGTTTCCTGAATTATCAGCTGTTCCTATAAAAATGGAATTATTATTGCTACACTTCTCCAAAAATAGACTGCAAGGAACAAAATGTTTATGCCACGGACAGCCACCTGTGATTTAGAATGTTGCTACAAGAAGAAATCTGGGTGTCTCAATTTATACTTTTGTTTTCATTGTGTATGGAATGCACTTTCTGGAAGAGCTTTACGTGCCATAAATATAAAACATCTGAGAAAACTGAAGGCTGTTGTAACACCAAAGCAAATACACGAGAACATTGTACTGAAGACACAAGAATTCAGTCATGCTTAAAAAAAATACAAGGCAAATTTTTTTTTGTTTATATACAACAGTCCATCAGTTGCAATGAATTTATTCTCATGATAATCATGTCAGGCTTTTTGCAATTTTATCCTAATTTTAACATCATAAATGCCACCACAGAATTCAGTTACTATTTATCTGCTATGCTATGCTGATAAATCCCACTCTTTCTTTAAAATGTAAAGCTTTGTTTGGGATGTCATGTTCACTGGACATTAATGAAATACAAAAATTCAAAGGGACCATTAATCAATGTAAACAATCTAAATTGTGTTGCACACACATTCTTCTTGTTTTTATTAAGTGATTATATCCAGATTTTGCTCTGTGGAACCCTCTATATAAAATATTTCACTTCTATTTTACATTCATACTGTAATGTATGATGTTCCATTTACAATGCACAGAGAGTTCAGGTTAATGTCTGAACAAGCTATTGCATTGAAAATCACAGAACTAGTGAAAGCACATTAAGACTTTTGAACTAACCCAGAATTTTTACTAGATAACCATCACTGAACCTTTATTTTAAAAAAAAAAATTGTGGTCGCAATCCCTCCTTCTCTGTTTTACTACAGTTATTAATGTATATTATTATATTGCAAACTTTTAAAAATATATGCTATCATTTGCACTCGTTGTAAATTGCTCTAAATACTGTGACTTTAATTGGAAGGGCATGATATATTGATATAACACAAGGACAGGTTGCTTAAATGTAATGGTATTTCTTCAAGTGGTCATCTGCAAATTCACACAAATAGGGTTATTCTGCACCTGCACAGAGTCATTTGGAGCCTTCTTCGTTCTATTAGAAGCATTTTGGCGATAGCCCTGCCCAGTCTCCATCTGCCTTATTGGCCAGTTTCTGCTTAAATCCTCAATTACATGGATGCAAAAGCAGCAGTCAGGATTGAAGGAGAGGCAGGACATGACTCTGATAGGAGGATGGGCGGGATTTGTGTGAATTCGCAGAGGACCACTCGAAGAAATACTGTTACAGGTAAGCAACCTATCCTTCTTCTTCGTGGTCTCTGCGAATCACACAAATGGGTTATTTAGACTGGCAAGCTTCGGTCAGTGGAGGAGGAAGTGCCATGCCACATAAAACGGCACATTGCCTCAAACAAAATTACCGTTTGTGAATCCGAGCCCAAGGCATGTTAATATAGGAACGAACTAATATGATGACTCTACATGAGTCGAGCTGAAATTCCAATACCGAGACGTAGTGGAAGCAGTCACCAATGCAGGCGAGAACATGCACAGTGGAAGAAAAAAACAGGCTTGCCAGCTAACCCATATGTTGCACAGACTGTTGATAAACCTTGATAGTCTGTGATAACATGGCAGGGATATGGCTACGGTCAAGGGAAAAACCTCTGACCTAGACAGCATAGGTTTGTTAGCAATGGAAATTATGCTGAAGCTATCCAGTAGGTAGGTGGTGTGAAAGCAAAAGAAGCTCACTACTGTAAGCGATAAAGGAACAGTAGACAAATGTTGCAACAAGAAGGCAAGGTATACAGACTGTGTCTGATCCAAGGAGATAAATGGAAGCCAATGTGAGGAACAACAGTCTTGCAACAGGTCGTGACATTGGCAATCGGGGGAAAAGGGGCATACCAAGCCCTCAAATTTGAAGATGTATCCAAAAAAAAAAAAAAGGAATATTTAAAGTGGAAAAAGGACAGTGACCTGATAAAGCCTCCCAAAGCCATTGTTTGAAGATTATGGCATCAACAGATAAAGCCTAGAATGCTAAATAATCCAGGGCTAAGTGCCCCCTTGGACATAGAATATGAAATAGACCATCTGTGCTCAGCAATGAGATGGTTGGGCATCACCAGCAAAGGCGGCAGAAAACAAGTGCCTGCCCTACAAAGTGGGCAGTAGAACGTCTGGATAATTCATTCATACAGAGAAAGCCTAATGGCATCAAACCGAAGAAAGCTCCTGTAACAATTTCTGGAATAGCGGTGGACATCAGAGAGGAGGAATAGTACCTCATCTAGTCACAACAAACACTGACAACAGGAAACAGTGAGAATATCGCAATATTCAATTGTTGTGACCCACAAGACATGTTGTGTGTGAATGTAATGTTTCAGGCTACCAATATGAAACATGCAGTTCTTTGTGAAAATGCCAGAGAAAATAACAGTGGCTGGCGTGATGACTAAAAGACTAGTCATGGCATTATAAAAGTAAAGGAATTCCATACTGTCAAGCAGAAAGAGATCTCTGTGGGAATGTTATCCCATCCCGTGATGTCCTGCATAGATTGTATCAAGGATAAAATGACTTGGCAGGAACAGTGGGAACTGATTATCAGCAGTATACTAGGAATGATATGGTGTCAATCCATCATGAATGGGTCATGAGAAGAAGAATTTTAGAACAGAGAAGCTGGAATAAAACTTAAGAGCCACAAAGTCCAGCTCCTAACCAGGTGTAAAACACTTTATTGTATAGATCCGGGGTGCGTGATGAAGCATAAAGTACACTGTGATAGGGCACAATAATGGGGAGAGCACAGGCTTCCCTGAATGAAGAGAAAACTCCCAGTACATTTGCAGAGTGCGTAGTTAGCCTTGGAAGGATTGCAGGTGGAGACCTGAAATATCACCACCTCACTAAAATGACGCCTTGAGACCAGAGGTTCAGGAGACCCAAGATGTTATGACATCAGTCAGCTTGGAAAGGTGGGACAAGTATGCCTGTTCCAAGATCTCAAAGTGTCCACAGGGGTGGACAAATCTGTGAAACGGAGGTTCAAATCAGAGGGATGTCCCCAAAGGGTGTTCCTGCCCAAAGTAGCAAATGGGAAAGAA